ACTTTCCCTCCGTCAACTCGATTGATCAGTCGCTATTGGCTGGTCCCAATCGACCACTTTTGTTCCATTGGATCAATCGGCCTCCACCAACCTGATGTGCTCGATTGACAATGCTCCATCGATCGGTCGCTCCAACTCGATCGATCGCCCTTCATCGATTAATAGCCCACGTTGGTTGATACCTCTTCCAGGTGCAAACACCCACTAGTGGCTCATGCAAGTGCACGTATCGTATCAGTAATATCAAATTTTAAAGTTTGGAATGTATATCACACAGGGAGCAAGGGAATTAGACTTAGGAAAAGTTATAGCTAACTTGATTTATTCTAAGCATGGAATTTAGTTTATGTTAGAGTCCTACAAAGTAATCCTAAAGTATCAAAAGAAATTGTAAAGTGTAAATCCCACAGAAATCCTACTTTTGTAGTTTGAATGGATGAAAATAAGGTTCTAAAAATACCCTCCATTGGAATGATGTGGGAGGAGTATTAGAAATGTAAAGTGCAAAATATAAAATAGGCTAGTGACAAATAGGAGCAACCCTCTTCCTTACCATCCCCACGAGTGCGTAAAGAAGATTGGTTAAAACGACTTTAATTCCTTAAATCCCGTAATTAACCCATCAAAGCATATTTTCCTAATATTTCTGCCTTTCTGCAAGGTATATCAACCTATACCCCATAGTTTAATGTGACTAACTTAGTTGATTTTATCATAGTTCTCCCGAGTCATTATGGTTCACAACACATTTTAACATTTCACTTGGCCAGAATGAAAAGTAAATGAAGAACTGAAGATTAATAATCACATTCAATAATTAAAAGTAATTTAAAAACACTTTTCAGTTACATACATCCTACTTAATCATCACAAGGTAAGGTAATGAAATCTACTTAAGAAGTATAAGAAAGACACCACACAGATTCATTGCAACAAGAGAAATTTATGATCCAAATATTTACAAATTAAATACAACAATAAAGACAAACAAGACTTATCTTCCTCTCCTTTACAATGACCTGAAGATGCTTAACCAAGACTCCTCGTGAACTTGGGCTGCTACTCCTGAATGCTCTCCCTATCCTCTACACTAGAAGAAGAATGATTCTATAGCAAGCTAACCCTTTAATTGACCAACTCTCATCAATCCCTCCACATCCATCCTCCTCTTCTAGTTCCTGATACACGACTATATATAGTTTGTATTACTTAGCATAAAAATCACTCCACAGCCTCCTACGTAACTCCTCACGACAGGCTTCCAGAATTGCCAAAACTGCCTTAGGTAGTTGATGGCGCCTAGGCGCCAGTCTCTCTGTGTTTTGTAGAAGGCATGGGCACCTTTACCCATTGATTAGGCATTTAGGTGCCAATAACGCGATGGCTAGGTGCCTAGTTGTTGGCACCGCTAACCTCTCGATCTGTCCAAGTGAAGGACTAGCGTCTAAGTGCCTTGGGGTCCAGCGCCTAGGCGTTAGTCCTCAATACGCTCCTTTTCGCCAAGTTCCTTTATGTTTCCTCACTTCCATTACATGTTTTATTTACAAGAAAGACATAAAAATATATTTCTTTAAAGTGCAATCTCATTTATAAAAATGTTAAATCATAAAGAAATATTAGCATACTTATCTACACATAACTGGTTCGACTGATCACTTCTGTCGACTCGATCAATCAGCCTCCACCTGCCCGATCAGCTCGATTGACCATTCTCTGTCGATCTCACCCAGCCTGATCAAACATTACACGTCGATTGAATGCTTACTCCTGTTTGATCAACTACTTCAGTTGGCTCGACTAATCGACCATCTTTATTCGATTGGTTACACACTTTGGCACGATCAACCATTCTTAGTTGATCGGTAGTACATCCCAACCTGATCGACCAAAATTTGATCTACTTGATCGATCGGTTGTCACCGACCTGATTGTGTTGATAAACCATCTCTGATTTACTCGTTTGATTGGTCGCTACCGCACTAATCATGTCGATTGACCATCTTTTGTCGCTTACTCGTACACTCTCTCATGATCGACCATCTTCAGTTCACTCGATTGAACAACTATCACCGGTCTGATCGTATCGATGAATCATCCTTCGTCGATTGGCCACACAATTCGACCAAATCGACCCTCTCGGTCAATTCGCCCGACCAGCCGCTATTGGGTCGATCGGTCGGTTCATCATTTCCATTCGATATGTTGCATATGTTTCATGCTTTTCACATTGCCTGCATTAGCACATCTACACATGCACACCGTCACACACTCATAAGAAAACACCCTCATATGCTCGTGATGAACATTTGTGCATCCCAACAATACATTACTCTATGCATTTGTTTTGTGACACCCTACTCTTTGCACCACATCACAGAAGGTTCGCACTTGCAATCTCCACTTTTGCGTGTTTGCTTGCATAACATTTTATGTGTCTAGGACTTGCATGCTTGAAACCTTTGCACTTGGACTTGTGTCTTCATAAACCTATCTCAGACAACATATTCTCACACAACATATAAGTGATTGGCTTGCCACTAAGCCCATCCACTTTGTAGTTCTCTCCGCTGAGAATTACATTATCTTTCACTTCTTACGGCACTGCTCTGGGCTGCCATAAGCATCTTCTTGAGTCACTGCTTTTCACACACTCTTTTACTTCCTTCATCACAGCTCCAGACTGTTGTAATCACATTCTTTAGTCACTGCCCCTTGCACATTCTTTCACTTCCTACAACACAACTTCAGACTGTCGCAGACACCTTTTCTGAGACACTATTCTTGCACACTCACTCTGGACAATCGCGAGTCATCTTTGAGCACGGCTTGCAAGGTAAGCTTGCCGAGCGTGTGTTTCTCTATGGTGAGAAATAGGGCTCAACAAAGATGTAATTTTTAATAAAATGCACCGACACAATACAATATTACTTCTTGTTCCTTTTTAACCGCTTGTTAACTTACACAATTCAATATATAATTGTAATAATTCAAATGAAGGAAATAGCACATGGTGATGGCAAAAAGAAAATTATGAATGGCAAAAGCTATTGGTGGGCTTACCCACGCAAATAATAATCGCCTTCATGTAGTTATTGCTCGTAAAAGGCCAGTCATAGAAAGAACCTCTTTCTTAACTTCTTATTGTACCCTTCTGATTTATTGAAGTTAGAATGATGAATGATTAACACTTGATCAGATAAACTTGTTATTATTATTATTCTTTTTTCACTTTTGAAATTTAAGCTTAAAAGTGAGAATCATGTTGGCATCAGTCTTTTGATGTCATTATTTATATATATATATATATATATATTTGTGTTCCTACCGTGACCTGTTGATAGAGCAGTCTCTCTGAAGGCCGTAATCCCCTCTGATAACATGTTTGAATCCCCTATTTAGGCCGTGATACTTGAATATTATATATATATATGGTATTATATATATGTAAATACATAAGAACTATGTGGTGTGTTTAGTAAATCTCCCTAGAGTTTTCCCATATGTTTAAATATTCTCTTAAAACTATCTTATCTTGTAAATTAGATTTGTCCCATTTTTAATTTTTTTTTTATTTTTAAAATTTTTATTCATGATTCAGACAAAATGAGTCAAAATTATATTAAAAAAATGTGAAAGTCTTGACAACTTTTCCTACGCATAAGATAACGCTAGTAAAATAGCTCCAAATCCTTTTATATCTCCTCTTCCCCTTTTGAAGAACTCCGCTGCAATTGAATTTGATTGCAGTTTTCACCCATTGGAGTTGTGTAATTAGATCAAGATGTAAGAAATTCTTCCAAAGCTATCTCTCAAAGGCAGAACATCAAAATAAAGTTCAAAAGAATTTAAATCTATCTGGAGACACTGCCTAAGGAATAGAGCGCTGAGGGAGAGAGAGAAAAGCACCCTTCTCCCTAGAATAAGTAGGTATGATGGAGAGTATTTTATTCCATACACGAGGATCCTCCACAGATATGATCGCTCGGCCATCATTAGGTAGAGTGGCCCTTAGCAGGGTGATGGTGAGACCGGGCGACTATTCACCGAGAGTCTTCATCATCGGCCCTAAAGTTGAAGGGCCCATTCTTACTTTCAGATCTACACGAGCTCAAGAGTGAAATTTAATCAGTTAAATTCTTTTCAGGAGTGATTCATCCCTTACTTCTCTCTGACATGCACCGTTTCCACAATACAAAGAGAAAACTAAATCAGTCCGATCATATAACCCCAGATCACTCATAAAAGAACCCCACGAATCACATCATTTTTACATTTACCCAATGAATTATCTTCATGATTCATGTTGGCACTTTTTTCATGTACAACTAAAATTATAAAATGTTCATTAATCAATCAATGGGGATATGGGAGAACATGCTTAGCAAGTTAAATTACTCCAAGGGGGTGTTACAAGCACCATTTTAATGAGATTCCGCTAACATAAAAATAAAAATCAAAACTTTCAAAACCACAATAATTTCATCGATTTCTCCATTAAAAAAAAAAAAAAACACTGCAAATTCATTGAAAAACAACAAAGTCAACTCATGAGCATGCGTTCCCACACACACATCACCATAACTAAACTCCACCAAGCTCCTTCAAACTAATAAAAGCATTCAAAATTAAGCAAAAACAAGATCAAATTTCACTTTTTTTTTCATTTTTTTGTATTTTCTCTTCAACAGTTCTCCTTCTCTTCTCCGGTCAATCTCTGGTCAAACTACCTTCTCCTTCTCCTTCTCCTTCTCCCCTTCACTCTGCTGTGCAACCTTCTCCTGCAGCACGAAACACCTGAATCACTCCCTTATACACATCTTATCAGAGCTTATTCGTTAGAAAGTTTTGAGATACCTTAGCTTCGCCGACCTCCTCTGTTCTTCCCTCTCCTCCCAAAGGCGTCTCCTTTACCTCCCCTGTGCTACCCTTCACATAATCCATGGCAGACTGTCCTGTACTGACAGTCACCTCCTTCGCCTTCACCGCGGCCTGCTTGGACACCTCCGCCGCCTTCTGAGCGGCGGCGATGGCCGCATCCTTTGCGATTTCATACCCCTGCAACCCCTTCTCCACAGCGTAGTCCGCCGCCTGATATCCTTTTCCGGCGATGTAAGTAGTTCCGGCGCCGACGCCATGAACGACGGTATCTTTGGTATGTTGGTAGGCTGCTGAGCCGGATTCCTTTGCTTTTGCGTAGCGTTCTTCGGCGGCGTTGATGGAGTCGATGGAATTCTGTTGTGCCTGGGCTCTGTATGGCACCGTGCCTTGAGGCGATATGGTGGTGGTGGTGGTGGTGTTGGTGGGGGTTTCATGGTTTTGGGGCTGTTTATCTTCTTCTTCGCTGGGGACGTTGTTGAAGGTTCTTTCTTGTTGGGAGGCCATGGAGGTTGTTGGTGGAAGAGAAATGGAGGTGTGGTTTGAGTGCAGGGTGATGTAAAGTCGAGATTTTTATGGAGGGGGGAGGAATGTAGGGGATTGACAAATGGGATGCTGGGGATATATTGAATAAAAAAAGGAGGTTTTGACATGAAAAGATAAGCCTTCTCCCGCGAAATCTTATTAAAATTGTGCTCTCAAACACTAAAATTTTTTTTCTGCGCGGACTCCTAACATGACTTTACGTGCGTCAGAATTATTTTTGAGTTATTTTCAGATTATTTCTACGTTATTTTTAATAATACCGAAATAACTCAAAAATAACCCAAAAATAAAAACCGCGGGTTATTTCTGAGTTATTTTAGTATTATTGAAAATAACCTGAAAATAACTCAAGAATAACTTACGCCGCACGTAGAGCTACGTCAGGAGTCCAGACACAAAATGCGCTCCTTAAACACCCCCTTAAGAGCAATTAAACTTGCTTAGCTTACTCTCCCATATCCCCATTGTTTGATCAACGAACAGCTTGTAATTCTAGTTGTACACAAAAAAGTACCGGCACAAATTACCATGATATTTCACTGGCCTACTAAGAGTGCTCGACTATGGAAATGATGCATTTCAGATAGATAAGGAAATAACCACCCTCGAAAAAAATCCAATTGATTAAATTCTGCTCAAGCCAATTGCTCTCATGCTCGATTAGACCTGAAAGAAGGAAATGACCCTTCAATTTTAGGACGAATGATGAAGACTCTCGGTCAATAGTCGCCCAGCCTCATCGTCAACCAATCAAGAACCACCCTGCTTAACGACAGCCAAGCGATCATATCCGTGGACCACATGAGGATCCTCTTGTATGGACTAAAATACTCCAGCAGTACCTACTTATTCTAGGGATACAACGTGCAATTATATAAGGACTCATTCCTATAAATAGAGCTTTCATTTCATGAACAAATGCTATGCAAATTTATTCTTCTTCGTACTATTGCTCTCCCTCCCTCTCTCATCCCCATCGTCCTATTTCTTAGTCATGCCTTCCAGATAGATTCAAAGTCAATTAGATTGGGTGAAAATCAGATAATTATACACAAATTAGAGCTTACAAAATACATTTGATGAGTCAAGTCGAAAAAAAATTACAGCTTCAAATATATTTAGATGTTCTGCCATTAAAAGTGAACTTCGGACTAATTTATTTAACTTTGATGATGAATTTTACAAACTTATCCAATTTCTCACATTTTGATCTAATTGCATAACTCCAATGGGTGAAAACTGTAATTAAATTGAATTGCTGTGGAGTTCTTACAAAAGACAAATGGAGATATAAAAGAACTTTAAGCTATTTTATTAGCGTTATCTTATCCGTGAGAAAAGTTGAGTCAGACTTTCACATTTTTAATACATTTTTGACTCATTTTGTCTGAATCATCATAAAAATATTAAAAATAAAAAATAAATAAAATGAGACAAATCTAATTTACAAGATACAGTACTTTCAAGAGAATATTTAAACATATGGCAAAACTCTAGGGAGATTTACATACACATCACATAATTCTTATCTATTTATATATATAACCCTCAAAATCTTGGCATCATAAATCTATAAATAATAT